CCCCTGTCAGAATGGCAAAGATTAAGAATATAAAAAGTGATAAGTGTTGGTGGAGATGTGGTGAAAAGGGAACCCTTCTACACTGTTGGTGGGAATGTAAACTGGTTGAGCCACTGTGGAGAACAATATGGAGGTTCCTCAAAGATCTACAAATAGACTACCATTTAATCCAGCAATCCCACTTCTAGGTATCTACCCAAAGGACCGGAGAATGCTCAGTGAGAAAAGTGCTCTCATATCAATGTTTTTTGCAGCATTATGCATAATTGCCAAGACATGGAACCAAACTAAATGTCCACAAGCTGATGAATGGATTGAAAAAGTGTGGCATATATACTCTATGGAATACTAGTCAGCCATAAAAAACAACAAGACCCTGGCATTTGATAGAAAGTGGTCAGATATGGAGGATCTGTTGCTGAGTGAAGTAAGCCAGGCTATGAAAGATATTGTATGTATCCACTTAATATATACTGACTATCCACACTCTATGGTAGAGAGCGAAATATTGGAGGACATAAAAGCAGTGAAAGTACTTAACAAGAAGAAAACAATGTGGAATGGGGGGGGGCTGAAGAGAAAAGGATAGAGAAAGATAGCAAGAGAATAAATAGAGAGGTATGACATTAGTGGGACACAGATATGGCTTATTACCTGTTCATGATGACGTGTATAGTATTATCAACTGGTTTGGTCTGAGAAGTATTTCATGATGGGTAAAGTCTTTTTACAAGAAAAATGAGAAGTAGTGATTGTTTAAAAAAATAATTGGAATAATAATTATTGGAAAAAAATGAAAAATTGTTGAATGATGAAGTGGGGAGTTTAATGTCTCTGTATTGATTGACATGCATGGCAATCCCTTTTGAAAAAGAAATGCAATACACTGTAAAGTTACATGCAATTCAATGTAATATAAACAAGATTATGATGATAAATAATATATATATATGCATGGGGTTGGCAGGTGGTGTGGTTAAGGGCACTGGAATCCTACATGGCTGACAGCAGTTTGAGTCCCAGGCCTGGCGGCTTTCTCTCTCTCTCTCTCTCTCTCTCTCTCTCTCTCTCTAGTACAATTAAAAATAAATAAACAAATAAAGTTAAATTTTAAAAAATTCTTAAAAACAAATATATATGCAAGATCCACTGGGAATGTATGCTTTTATTATCTGCAGTTGAATGTATTCTTTGTAGATCAGAAATGTAAAAGATTAATCTTGTATGTCCCAGTATTACATTCAAAGGCAGTCTGTGTTCATGATGGCAAAATTGACCATTTCCTTTCATAAGAAACAAAGAAGATTTGTGAAACTAAAATACGGAATCTTTGCTTTTTCTCCAGATGCACAGCAGTGTACCCCATGCCCAGCTCAGAAGTATCCAAACAGTGAGAAGAATCACTGCCACCCCAAGATTGTGACATTCTTGGCCTTTGAGGACTCTCTGGGGATTACTCTGACCAGCACAGCTCTGTTCTTCTCTGTGGTGACAGTTGCAGTTTTGCGGTTGTTTCTGAAGCACCAAGATACTCCCATAGTCAAGGCCAATAATTGGGCCCTGAGCATCATTTTGCTCATCTCCATTCTCCTGTGTTTTCTCTGTTCTTTGCTCTTCATTGGCCGTCCCTGCACAGCCACCTGCATCCTCAGACAAGTTACATTTGCTCTTGTGTTCACAGTTGCTGTTTCCACTGTTTTGGCCAAAACCATTACCGTTATTCTGGCATTCAAGGCCACAAAGCCTGGAAGAACAGTGAGATGGTTGTTGGTATCAGGGGCTTCTAACTCTGTCATTCCCATTTGCTCCCTGATCCAAGTGATTGTCTGTGCAATCTGGTTGGGAACCTTTCCCCCTTTCATTGAAACAGATTTACACTCTGAGCCTAGAAACCTCATTATTGTGTGCAATAAAGGCTCAGTCATTGCCTTCTACTGTGTCCTGGGATACCTGGGCATCTTGGCCCTTGGGAGCTTCACTGTAGCTTTTTTGGCCAGAAACCTGCCTGACACATTCAATGAAGCTAAGTTCCTCACATTCAGCATGCTGGTGTTCTGCAGTGTCTGGGTCACCTTCCTCCCTGTCTACCACAGCACCAAAGGGAAGTTCATGGTGGTGGTGGAGGTCTTCTCCATCTTGGCCTCTAGTGCAGGACTCTTAGGCTGTATCTTTGCTCCCAAGTGCTACATTATTTTGATAAGACCTGATAAGAACTTTTTCAAGAGTTTAAAGAACAGGGGAATTAGGCATTCTGAGATTTCAACTTATAAATATCAATAGCACAGATATTTGGGTTTTGAACCATAATACCATCCTTATTTTGCGCTCAATATCATAAAGTAAGTACAAATCTTTTTACCTTTTAAACCTACCAACTTTTATAGCAACAACAACAAAAAATAATTTGTAAAACTGACCTCAGTTATCCATAAAAGTTAAATCAAAATACTATCTCAGATTAGCTGGTATTGTTTTCTTCTCTTTTCTTTTCTTTTCCTTTTTTTTTTTTTTTTTTTTTTGCTATACGGTGCATGCGCTCACTGGAAAGACAGAGAGAGACAGAGAGACAGAAAGAGAGAAATCGTCCCCCAGGGGGGATGGCCACGCCACAATCCCTTCTCCTCCATTCTCCTCTCAGGATCCTGGGCATGCATGCACACGAGCCCAGTCTGAGTTTAAGCCGCTGGGTCTGGAGCTCAAACCGTAGTCGACTACATGGGAGTCCAGCAACATAGCCATTATGCTAACTGCTGGTTCCAGATTAGCTGGTATTTTTAAATTTTGGATTTTTTCCCATTTTTTAAAATTTATATTTTATTTTAAATTTATTTACATTCATTCACTGTAAATCATGGCAATATACAAAATGAGATTTTTCACCCAGAATCACTGTATATTGACTCAATCAAGGATACTGCTATGTGTGTTATCATCAACAAATAATTTTCCATTTCTTATTTCTCATATATTTTGCCTTTTTATCCCTCCTTGATTCCCTACTACCTCTTACCCTCTGCCATTTCCCACTCTCCTCTCACACTGTCTCTGGTATCTATAGCTGTTTTGCATGTCTTTTGTTTTTTCACATTTTTTGATTCACAAAAGATCTTAATTAATCTAAATACTTTTAATAGCAAGTGCAGCTGATATATACATGTATATGAACATATGTCTGACTTTAGGCAAAAACCTCAGTGAGTAGAATGAACTTACTATAAAGTAGCACCTAGCTAGGGCTATATATTTTACTATGGTCACTAAATATGTATATTTTATGCATTTTTAATTTCAAGATAAATAGCTTTAATTTTAATAGATCAAAATTTTAAAAAATGTTTTCTTAAGGCTTAAAGCCAGGAAAAAGGTTAGGATTCAGTTCAAACAATAGGTAGAAAACTATGCTTTAGCCAGTCCCAGATCATGGCTATGTTTGTGTCTGGCATGTACAGGGAGGTCTCCAGATATGCACCTAGAACCTACCCATGTTAGCCTCACAGAGTGTTGCATTGCTGTTATGCCTCTGTCTGGCCTCCAAATGTGGGAGGCTGCGCACTAGCGAATATCTCTGGTTTCTCAGAGAGCAAACAATTACACAATGCCAAAGGCCATGATTGGCTCCCCTTAAAAAACCTCACCTTCAAAACCATACTCTGATTGGCCACTTCCCATAAAGGCCATGATTGGCTCCCCTTCAAAAACCTCACCTTCAAAACCATGCTCTGATTGGCCACTTCCCATAGCAAATCGGTGCGCTTAGAATCCCTCAGATTTGCATATCTGGCACCTCATGATTGGTCCACAAAAGCAACCAATCATAACTCACCTTTTACAATCCTTCATTCAACCAATCACTGCCCACCAGCATGTATATAACCACGATCCCTGGCCCACAATCTCCAGACTACCCTGAAAACCCTGAAGAGTTGTGACACCGCATCGTCTCCAGAAGACCCTGAAGAGTTGTAACACTGCGTCATCTCTGTGTTGTAACACTACACTGTTTGTCCCGTCTCTCACCCCCTCCCTCAGGAAACCTGCTCAACTGTTCCCTGAGTCGGGACACAAAAGTAATAAAATTCTATTTCATCAGTTCAGTCTCATGTAATTAATCTCTTTTCTGTTGAATTTTCAGTATTCCTGTGGTCCAATATTTCTGTTTAAATTGTGAAAATTAATATTCAACATTATCATTGATCTTTTCAGACTCATCCCTATCATTAAGTTGGCCATTCCCTTGGTTGGTTTTTGTACTCTAATTTCTGACTTTAGTTTTCTGAATATAGCATTCCTTTGAGAACTTCTTGGAGCTCTGGTCTGGTGCTGGTAAATTATTTCAGGTTTCATTATCTGAAATTGTTTTTTAATCTTTTCTTCCCATATGAAGGATAATCTTGCAGGGCATAGTACTCTTGGTTGAAATGTTTTTTTACTTAACATTTTGAATATATTTTTCTATTGTTTCCTTGATTACATTGTTTCCAATGAGTGGTCAGATATTAGCCTGATGGGATATCCTTTAAAAGTAACTTGACATTTCTCTCTTGCCAATTTTAGTATCTTGTCTCTGCCTATGATTTTGTTCAATCTGGCTATGATGTGCCTTGGAGAATATCTTCATGGGTTGATTCTATATGGGGTCCTTTGTATTCCTTGGGTCTGGAAATTAGAATGTCTCTTTAGGTTTGGGAAGTTTTCTTCTAGGATTTCATGGATGTAGAGGGCATTGGAAGTCATCTTGAGAGCTGTCTGCCATCTTAGAAACCTTAGGCTTCACTTGCTCATTGAGCAAACCATGTCTCAGAAATCATGTGACCATCTGTTCCTAGGCAACGGGAGATCCACCCACATCAATGATTGGCTCATACTGTTGTATCTCTTTTCGGGGAACCAATTGGTGCCCACCAGCCTGTATATACAGCACAGTTTGCTCTGCAATAAATGAAGACTTGATCAGCACCTCATCTATTCTCCACTCTGTGCATGTCTGTGAGCGTTCTGTGAGCCTGTGTATGTGTGGGTCCCTTTTCTCACCATCCTCACCCAAGTGACCATTCGACTGTCCTGCGGGCCGGGGCAAGTGGCGCCCGAACATAGGGCCTGGGCCAAGAGGACCAAGGTGAGGGACACCAGTAAAAATGGTCGGCGCCGACGACAGTGGAAGGGACGGTGCAAGATCATCCTGGTAAGTAATACAGAGATTACTTACTAACATTTTAGTGTGCAGGTATGGGACAGAAAATTAGTAAGCATGAATTATTTGTTCAGGGGCTTAATGATGCCCTTAGGACACACAGAGTTAAAATTAGAATTAAAAAATTACTTTCCTTTTTTGGTTTTCTGAAAGAGGTGTGTCCCTGGTTTCCTCAAGAAGGCACTATTGATGAAGCAAGGTGGAAGAGGGTAGGTGATGCTTTAAAAGATTACTACATCACATTTGGACCAGGAAAGTTCCCAATAACAACTTTTTCTTATTGGAATTTAATAGATAAAATCATTAAACTCCAGTCAACTGACCCCAAAATTGCAACAGTTGTTGCAGAAGGAGAACAAATTGTGCAAAAAGAAAAAGATGATCTAATTTCTTTAGATAGTGAGGAAAAAACAATAAATTCTAATAAACAATTGGATGTTAGGCCAAAACAATTTTTAAAAAATCTAGGGTAAATGAGATTACAAATCCTACAAAACCTCAGAAAAAATTATACCCATCTCTTACAGAACTTAAAGCTAATTCAGATGGTTAATTGGCTGATTCTGAGGAAGAAATTTTAGAAACAAAGACAAAATGACTGCCTGAAAAAGAAACTTTAGAAACAAAGACTGCCACATATAATAACTCAAAATGGTCGTCTGAAAAAGAAACTTTAGAAACAAAGGCAGCCAAATATAATGACCCAAACCCAAAATGGCCACCTGAAGAAAAAACTCTAGAAATAGAGGCTGCCAAGTACAATAATTCAAAATGGCCACCTTTCAAAAAATGACCACCATCTTACAATTTGGTCACGTCTGCACCACCTTTGGTGATGCCGGTTATTGATCCTAGGGAAGAAATTTTGAATAAAATTAAATATCTTGAAGAACAAATTTAATTTAAAAAGAAACATCAAAAAATAGGGGGCCGCCCCAAGATTCCAGACCTAAAACAAACTTTTGAAACACTTGAGTTTGTTCTGTAAACAACAACTTATTTCAGACCTTTCCAGAACTACGCCATGAAACACAGAACTGGTCCTCTGTTCCACCACCTACGCAGTGCTTTTTGTTCTCTCTCTGATTAAACAAATTACATTTACAACATTCTCAATATCAGCTCAGCTAGTTGAGCTGCAAGCAGTTATTGCAGTCTTCTCTGCTTTTCCTGATACATCTTTAAACTTATACACAGATAGTACTTATATTGCTATGCCTGTACCACTTCTGGAAACTGTGGCACAAATTAAACAAGTTTCTCAGGCTGCACAGTTTTTCCTCCAATTGCAGTCTCTCATTAGAAATCGGAAATTACCTTTTAACATTGGCCATTTGTGCGCACATACAGACTTGCCTGGCCCTTTAACTGAGGGTAATCACCATGCTGACCTGGCCACAAAACACTCTCTTTTGGTTCATACTCAAACTGAAACAAATCTTTCAGATGCTGTTGCTGCTCATCGACTACATCATTTGAATTCTCACGCCCTTTGTCTCATGTTTAAAATTACTCGGGAACAGGCCCGACAAATTGTAAAACAATGTCTGGCCTGTCTTACTCTTTTGCCTACACCACACTTGGGTGTTAACCCTAGAGGCCTTATGCCTAATGCTTTATGGCAAATGGATGTCACTCATGTTGCAGAATTTGGTATTCTTAAATACATGCATGTCACTGTTGACACCTTTAGTGGTTTCATTTTTGCCACAGCACAAACTGGAGAGGCTGGTAAACATGTTATTTCTCATATTCTTGCCGCGCTCTCTGTTTTGAGTAAGCCTCAACAAATTAAAACAGATAATGGCCCGGGATACACCGGAAACAATTTCAGCTCTTTTTGTAAACAACTCCATATTAAACATGTCACGGGGATTCCATACAATCCCCAGGGACAAGGTATTGTTGAACGTGCTCATCTTTCCTTGAAAAATATTCTCCAAAATTTAAAAAAGGGAGAGATTTTACAACTTAAAGGTTCACCAAAAAACCTTCTAGCACATACACTTTTTGTCCTAAATTTTCTAACACTTGATAAAGATGTACACTCAGCTGCTGAGCGCTTCTGGCATTCAACTACTAAAACAAA